GTTGTGTACAGTGCTGCTCGTCGGTCATGCATTGCTTCCACATGAGGGTATCCGCAATTCCCTAATGGGCTCAGGATATCCTTTTGCCATGAAGGCTTTTTGCCAAAGAGTAGTCGTACCGACTGCAATGGGAGAAAACAGGTTCCTGTGAAGTCTGCTTGGTGCAGTGAGTGGTGTACGGGAGTGTGCACGCAAGTGGCAGAGGACTCATTACCAGCAAAAATTGCAGACCTTTTAGACTGCTAAGCTAGCATGATCAAAAAGCATGTACACAACTCATTCGACACGTCTCTCTGGACCAGTATGTTCTGGCAACAACATGTCTGCCAAAAGGCTCGGCAACCAAGTTCGTTATATGAAACATCTGCGTTGCTTGGACAGCTTCTGTGCCTGGAAGTCCCAGATCATGACCTGCCAGTCTTTGATCGCTTACAAACTTGTGGGGGCTTGAATGCTAGAAACTGTTGTTATGGGGACCCCTCAATTTTGGGAAACCACCATCCTGACTCTTGGCAAGAACAGCAAAGAACAAATTCCTGCCTGACCGTCCCCCGCCACTGTCAAAAAGTACCTAAGCCCAAAGAGCTCCACTGCCTTTTCTGCAGGCTGACGTACTGGCGCACTTGATGGGAGCATCTGGTGGGTTCTTCTCGCTGGCGCCTTTGCCACGCCTCTCCACCTGCTTTGGCCATGGGCCAATCTTTTTTCCCAAAATTTTGGCCTCTCTCGCGCTGAACCCCTCAACAGTCAGGCTAGTTAGCGATGATTTTGAAGACCGAATGGATTCAATCAGGCGTGTGTAGCAGTCAGTGAGAGTCGCATAGAGGCCTCGTATGCAACTGCAAATGCAAGCAGGTGCAGGGAAAATGTGCACATTGCAAAAAATGTGAAGCATAGTTTTCTCAACCTCACGGGTCGAACTATCTGTCTTCCATCTTCCGCCTCGATCGTCGCTGGCATGAATTCGATGGCAACAACCGCTTTTCGATGTGACTCATCGATCATCGACATCTGGCGGTGGGTGACCTCAGCTGCACACTCAAGAGACTAAACTGGCATGTTTACGAGGACAAAGGAAAAGGTACGAGATAAATGTACACAAGGTTATTACAGAACACAACAGCAACATGCACCCAAAAACGTCGTCTTAGCTAGAAACCGTCGGGATGGTGGAGTTCTTCTCCTCCTGTCCAGGGTGGTCTCACGATTTCAGACTCTCATTTGCCGAGTTCTGCCATTTGACTTACTCCAAGCTGGAAATGTAGCTGCGGCACTGCAGGATGTAGGAACAAAACGCAGCGTTGCAGTGGACTTCCCAGTATAAAGTGCTCGCGGACCAACACCATGGCTTTGTACTTACTACCTCGACCTGTGGCGACTCTGAAGCCTTAAACCCAACTTCCAGACCGCCACCTCCTCACCCTCAAACGATGCCTGCAACCATCTCGAGCTGTCTCTTCAAGCATGCGGCGGCCTCCAGACTTCCCCCACGTGCCGCATGGTTCGTCGACTTCGCAGCCGCGAAACCTCACACCAGCGTAGTCTGTGCACACATGCTGCAGCGTGTGCTTCTTACATGGATCGGCTTCTTGGAGACTTTGCGGGATGTGTCCCAAGACGCAAACGTGTAGTGCTCTCAAAGGTTGCCGCGCCTAGATCGGTGGTGGACAGCTTCCAAACCTGAACAATGGCGTCGCATCACCAAGTGGGCTTCACAAAGCCTTCAGCGCGCCCTTCTAAATCACAGGAACCATCCCAGTCTTTTGTCTGTGATACAAGCAAGCAGACGCAAAGACATAATGCTTTCCAGGCAAGTAGTGCAGCAACATACTGGGTGGCCAACTGCAATTTGGCCATTACCCAGACCTTGATTGAGGTCTCATGACATTCCCGTGCAGCCCTTACGCCGCATTGGGAAGCAACAGCACACATATTGGTGGATATAGCAGACATGTTTTCTGAGTTCGGGTGCCTTAGGCAATAGACACCCGCTAGCTGACAAGATTGCACTGTGACTTCTCAAAGTTCAGCAGAACTTCATCACAGCCGCCTTCTGCGGGGCATTGGGGTTAAATGCTCAACAGCATCCTGAGGCAGCATCCACCTATGAGAAAGGTCGGGTCACTGGGGTAGAACTTGAAGACCGTGACCTGCCAAGGTCAACAGCGCACCTACAGGCACGAGTTCTATCGGCCTGCTTTACCTGCATCAACTGCCTTGCAAGCCCTGGATACCGCAATGTAATATGAGCAATCCCTACATAAACCTGGAACCTAGTTTCCATTCAATTCTCCATTATCCCTATAATAAAACTTTTATGACTCCTATGCTACCCCTAATATGACCCCTAAAGCCTCCTCGGATCTGGAATCCCTGTTTGTCCCGACCTCCCAGGGAGACTCCAGGATGGCATGGGGACTCAAAGAGTCCGCAAACGACCACACCAACACGGTGCTGACCTCAATTTAGATTAGGGTTTAGGATTTTGTGGTTTAGGGCTGTCTGGGATCCAAGAATATGGTGTACCATTTTGGGGCTCCCCATCGTAAGGAAAGTAATACTTGGGGCTCTATATACTTTCTCGAAACTACCATATCAGGCACTAACGAGTGAATGCGCTAAGGATAGAGCCGAAGCCTTGCCCGAGTTTTCCAGACGGTCGACAAAGGCAAGATTCCTGGCAACTACCAGATCTTCAGCTTCCGCAGTTGCAACTTTGAAGATCTTTAAAACAGACTAGAACTCATATCTGCAGACTCTTCCGAAAAGAATGCGCGTGGTGGCTTGCAGGTACTGGAGGAAACTAGGGCTCCCACTCACAGCACGAGGACACGACCATGTCCGAAGAGCCAGGAACCCACTCGACCCACTCCTTCGAAGGCCGAACAAAATGAGGCATCACTTCATGGATTTCAAAATTAACAGAAATGAGGCGGAAGAGCAGTGTTTCCAGAGGGAATGTGATCGCATTTGATCGCATCATAGTTGACGCAACGAAGACCAGCGAGCCAAGTAGACAGCACAGCAGTTCTGAGCTTTGGTCGATGCGCTTCCCCTTTGTGTAGGTCACATCATGGAAGTTCGGATGTTCCTCCCGACTGCGTCTTTGAGGTTATGCTGGGAATCCTTCCAAAAGCTGTCAGGGACAGGTACTTCCAATTCTACTGCCAAATATTCCATGCTCACAGTCAAGAGATGTCAAGCGCAAGAGCACACTTACAATTATTTGAACGCAACTGCTAATGCTACACGCTGATACAACCCGATGCATACCCTCCAGCAGCATGATGGTGAGACGGTCGGTGAGGCCTTCAGCTTCGAGTGGGTCTTCGTGACCGCACCGGCCTCTTCCTCTCCCAAGTGTGCAAACCTTCAAAGTGCCCCATGGCGGTGACAGAAGGCGGGCTGTTTGGCTTCAGCAGCACGAATCAGGAGAGGAGCAAGCAGGGAATCGGTTCACAGCTCATGCTTCCTGAGGCTTAGGCTCTTCTTGGAAGATGTCGACCGTCTCGTTGGTCTGCAGGGCCTCCTCGACTCCGACACCTCACACAGCGTAAGTACACGAATCTTCCATCATACAAACCATACGAACAAGAAAAGACAGGAGACTGGATGGTGATTACGCGTATCTCTTGCTTTCAGGTCCCGACTGACTGTAGAGAGGAACATGGACAGCTCATCCACCTGGCACTGGCACTCAGTTCCCTCGCTCTGCTCTCATGTTTAAGAAAACTGATTATCGGTTAACGCATTGAGATATTCCCTTGACACCTGTCCGACTTGATAACAGCTTGAATGTTGCAACCTGTCGACATTAGCGCGATAGGGCTGGTTTTTTGTGGGAGGTGATGAGGCCTGTCAGGCTCACACCCAAGCTTTGCAGATTGTGCAGAAGACTTTGGTAACCGCCAGGCCTTGTCGTAGCCGAGATCTGCTCCCTTCTGCAAGAAGTCACCCGGACTCGGGATATCATCAGGATTTTCCCGATGCACGCAGTCTACAACTTGTCAAAATTTGAAATTGTCAATCCCGTAGGGTGTGCCCTGCAAAAAAACTGGGCTCCCAGCATATACTGAGTGGACTTGTTGACTGGCCGGAACCTGGCAAACTCGAGGATGGCAAACCGTTCCACTACAGCTCACACAAGCTGCTCGTCTGGGCAGCATAGAGAACGAAGTCGGTGACACAATCATGCCTATGTACCCTGTGATTACGATGTCTTGATCATCCCAGACGAGTATTGCTATTATCATTGTTCCCATTCTTGTTAGCATCATTGTGAGCGTCTTTGCTTATTGTCATTAATTAAAGCTAACAGGCCGCAGCCATGGGCTTCCGGCCAGGTGGTCTGGCAAGAGCAGGTTCTTGTCTCTTTCACCGCCTGTGTCTTAATGGTGCGTAAGGGAGAGCAGGGGAGTAGATCCTTATCAAGGGGCTTAGAGTTTGGGCTTCAGGGTTAAGGATGGATCCTGATAGTAATGCATAATAATCCCTATTCATACACCATGTGGTACATCTGTGCAAGTAAAAGAAACAGGGGGGGTATCACAACAGCAACGATCGCAACTCTTAAGAGATGCTGCTATCTCAGGATGAACCAGTGCTCCTACCTGTGCTGTCACACATAGCATCGTTTCTTTCAAAGGCTTTTGCACTCTGAATACTCCGAAAGGGTGGCCATGGAGCAGCTGCGAACCGTTTATAGCTTTACCTCACGACCAAAGCACAAGGAGACTTGGAAGCTCTGGGAGGTATTCTTACAGAGAGGAAACCTGTAGCATCTAATTTATAATAATCTTTTCTTGCTCGTGCACGGAGGCAGGATCTCTGCCTTCTCAAAAGCCAATTATGCTTCGAAGTCTTTCGGGACTGTTTAAGACACTAGCTTTGAACTCCCACTGACTGTCTGACTTGAATGATCTGTCTGTTGCAAGGCAGTTAATGACGGGGCGAAGGCCAAGGCCTGGATTCCGATCTCCAGCTCTTTCTTTGGAGGAGCAAAATTGTGGTCCTGCAGAGGGATAGGGAAACAAGGGGAGGCATGAGGCTTCAGCAAATCTCTTATTGGATCACGAAGCTTGCGCAGGTGTCCTTCTGCGGTCTGCAGTTCTGATTGTTTTCCCCTGGCACGCACGTGTTGCTGCGCTTTGCGGTTGAGAATTGTGCGAACTTACCTTTGAAGACTCCGAAGCTTCTACATGGCAAGGGAAACACGCAGGCATTGACAACCAGCTCAGCCAGCTGGACCCGAGTCGCTGAACTTCGTCGACTTCCCAAATTGGCTGCGAGGCCTGGTCAGGCAAATGATAAGGGCAAGGGTGTTCAGGGTTGAGGCTTCTGGGGGGTTTAAGTGCTGCCACACATTCTGGCCTGGTGATCATGATCTCCAGGAGCGGACGGCTGTTGTGAACGGTGAAAGTACCCACCTGCTGACAGCAGGTTGGAAGCAACGTCACGATGTCCCGCAAAGCAGCCATGTATCAACTCGAGCTGCAGGTATTGCGCAAAACGTTTGGATTTGTAACTTAGCTTCGTGCTCGTTTGGGAAGGCTTTCAACTTTCTATCTTTAGGCTCGAAGACTGCCAGCATCAGGGATGTATGTATGTTCAGGAGACAGAACTCATCTCGGTAGAAGCTGGACAGTTTTACATGCCCGATTGCAGTGTGCGCTGGAGCTGACCTCATCGTGGGTAGCCTCTGCCGTCTCAGACTTCCACTCTTTGCAGTCCTGCGGTCTGATGGTCATTGCTCAGGTCAGGCATGAGCAACAACAAGTCAGCCAAACGCTGAGTCGCAGCAGGCCAATCACCCCACGGTAACTTGAGTATACTTGAGTCAGGTAATTGTTGCAAAGTCCTTTGGAAGGTCACGGATGACGATGTTCTCCTCGGGCTCATCCTCGCGCTATGCATGAAGGTCAGATCTGAGAACATCAGACAAGAATGATTTGCACTTGTAGGTACAGTTTTGGTTTGACTTCGCTCGAAGGCGACTTGGGCGTAGACGGCCACGATCGAACCGACATGTAAGTCCAAGCCCACTGCGCAACATCCAGACGCGCCCGAGCCTGTCCTCGATCCCCGCCTCTTCCCCACCAGGGGCATTCTCCTTCTCGAAGTCGTCGAGCACGCCCTAACAGTGGCCATTTCCCATCATTGAAGCAGATAGGCATATGCAGCCTGCACACATCAATAATTCCCTCTCCCACCTGCCGGAGTTCCTCTAGTCTCGCCATTTCACGCTTGTAGGCTTCCTCCGTGGTGCACCTGTAACTGTGCTGGGGCAGTGCTTGCGAAGACTGGCAGGCAGCGGAGCAAGGTTCTCTCAAGTAACTTGCCAAAAATTTGGACGAGTGACCACACCAGCTTTTCGCCGTACGCCTTGGGAAACGTTTGAGCTGCGGAGACGGCATCGCAAATAAAGGTTGCACTTCCCATGAACCTGACATTTCTCCAGACCTAAAACAAATTCTGAACCATGTCAGCATGGAGCCCCAAACGAACAACGAAGAAGCTTTGAAATGATGAGGTGACGACTTTGGAAGGGTCGAAAAGCACGAGAATATCCTCTATTGGATATTTCTCGAAGTCCTCACAAAATTACGAAAGCTCAACCACTGCAAATCAGTGCCAGCAGAATGTACCACTGCGAAGCTGCACTTCATGTCAGGCCAGCACATACTGATGGAGTCTGTCCTTCTGCTGTGGGTGGTAATCTGAAGCAAAGCCCATTCTTTTCACCTGCTTGGCCAAGGCACACCACTTGCACTTAATCTCATCTGCTCTAAATGCATAGCGTTGGCCTAGTGACACGACAGGACAGGTTCCACTCTTTTGGCCTGGTCCAGTACCTCCGACTTTGTGAGGTGAAAGAAAGGTTTCAACCTGAACACCAAGTCTTGGGAAAAGCTCCTCCAGGATCTCTTGCGCAGAGAACTCCCACAAGAGCAAAGCTTGCCGGCTCGAGGTGGCATGCTGCTACAACCATCTTGCTCCCCTAAAAGATGCAAATGTTTAAACTGTTCTTTGCATGTTCGACCGCAGGTTACACAGCACCGCTGGACTAAGCTCCAGGCTTCATCCCAGAGAAGGGCACATCGTCGGACTCGTCAACTTCGTCCACCAAGCCGAGGGACAAATAGTTTTTTGCCTTTGCCCGCGGCTCTTGTAATCAGGTGAGTTGGATAATAGGGCTTTCAGAACTGCGAGAAGCACGAGTTTGAAACTGCGTGGTGAAGGAGTGGCCCGAAGGCTGCATCTCTAAAAATGCCCTCCTGGACATCTTTGGTCCATTGAATTTCCATGGGATTCAGCTGTGCTTTGCCCGCATCTTTGGCCGGGTTGGTTTCTGCCGCTCCGACAGACTTGGATTCAACATTTCTTTCTCACATCATGCCCTCTCATCAACCTGACATGCTCAGCAGCCAATCATCCCATTGAAACCCCATGCAGCCTCTCAAGTCGGACAGGAGCCCTGTACATCTAAGCAGAAGCCAACCTCACATGGCTTGCAGGGACATGGATCCCGTTGCAGGATGGGACTCGCGGTTCAGCTTCATGTGCATTTCTCTGATGTATTCCTGAGATGGCTGTTGTACAGGCTGCTCCAAGATTGTCACTTGCAAGATCTGTGCGGGGGACCAGTATATAATCCACTGCCCTGAAGAATACCCCCACTGACACCCTGCCTGCATCCAGGGCACAAGGTACCCCCCCTGACTCTGTGGCTTTTGATTGGGTTTTTAGCTTTCGCAGGTTGTCAACGCAGCTGCAATTGCAGCCATGCCCTAGCTTAACCTTTCCACCAAACTCCAGACCGACTGCAATCGAGGCTGGAATCCTTCCCGCGCCAGTCCCCGCACCAAGTCAAAAAGGTTGCGGAGGCTTGGCTTACTCTAAGAACTTGTGTCTAATTCGCCTTCTCTAAACGCCTCCCTCAAACCAATTTGAAGGTCCCATGGCGCTTGGCCAGTCTGCTTCGCCCGGAAAGCTCAGATCACAAAAACAAAACAAAAGTGGGCGCTGAACTATAGGCCAGTTGGATCGGCATTGGAACGGTGGCTATAACCGGTTAGATCAACACAGCAGCTATTGGAGCTCAACCTCCCTGGGGGTGGGGAAGGTAATATTGTGATAATATGGGATAAGAAAAGGTCATAATGGAAAAGAAAATGGAAACTACTATATGGTATACTGTATCAAGTCCGGGCAGCTGGATGCAATCGCCTCCACATGAAGACTTGCACGATCCAGGAGAGTATCCAAATCACCTGGGGTCCCGGCATGTGATTGCACGATACTGATACAATCTGCAGTGGCAACTTTGAATGACTGTGGGCTAACATGCCTTTGGACTTCCGTGCTGGGGCCCTATAATCCACACTTGAGAACTTCCGTGCCAAACTCCACAACCGGAAACCCAGAAGTCCCTATCCCCACATGACCTATATAACCCTTTGATACTATAGTAGTTTCCATTTTCATGAAGGCCATGAACCGCACCGGAACCGAATGAACCGGAACCGCACGAACCGGAACCGCAAGAACCGAAAATAAATAACCGAACCGAACCGTGCGAATCGAAAACATATCAAGAACCGCCCGAACCGCATCGAATAACCGAATGCATCATTTGGCCTCTCCTCCTACTCCTACTCCTACTCCTACTCCTACTCCTACTCCTACTCCTACTACTTCTACTACTACTACTACTACTGCTACTACTACTACGACGACGACTACTACTACTACTACTACTACTACTACCACTACTACTACGACGACGACGACAACGACGACGACGACGACGACGACGACGATGACCTCCAAACCTTACAAAATGATTTTTGCAAGGCCTGGAAAAATCATTTTGGCCTCCATTTGCGGTTGA